AACATCATCTTCACCTTACAAATGGTGAAACAGGCTTGGAGCAGTCAAGAAACTTGTTCAAGGTCTCATGTCCAGAAAATAGCAGAACTGGGATTTGAACTCAGGAGATTTGGCTCTAGAGTCCACATACTTAACTATCATGCTATAGTAGCTTGTAGTTTATTGAATCAAGGGCTAGTCTCATACAAAAGCCACTGAGTGAGCAAAGTCATCATCCTTTTACTCTATCGTTTCACCTCACCTTCATCCCAGGGAGAAAAAGAAAGGAAATGAGAGAGAGGAAGGACTAGTCATGATCACTTTAATTTATTAACATGAGAATCTATGCTCCCCTTTCTTATAGTTTAGACTTGTTTCTGGGAAATGCTGATCAACCACGGATTACGTTTCCTGAACTTTACCTCCACCCCACAGATCTAGGTGGGGTTGTATGACCAGTTCTCTCCAATAAAATGTCAATTCTTTCTGGATGCAGAGGACTCATGCATGCCTTGGGGAACGGTGCAGCCACAAGATAAAAGTAGTCTGAGTTTTTGAATGACCTAATGGAAGACTGTCACCTACCAGGAACACTGCACTATACAAACTATTGTGTTAAACCATTGAAATGTTAGGTTTGTATGTTACAGCAACTAGCATTACCCATACTAATATATAAACCACACAACTAATGACTATTCTAAGATGCCCCAACATATCTCTGCACCTTCCCTGTCTTACTTCTTTATCACTGCATAACAAACCACCTCAAGGACAGCGCCTATGGTTCAAAAGGGCAGGGCGCCGGTCCCATATGCTGGAGGTGGTGGGTTCAAGCCCAGCTGGGGGTGGGGGGGAATAAAATCTCAAAACTAAATGGTTTAGGCTTAGTGCCTGTGGCTCAAACAGCTAAAGCGCCAGCCACATACACCTGAGCTGGCGGGTTCGAATCCAGCCCGGGCCTGCCAAACAACAATGACGGCTGCAAGCAAAAAACAGCTGGGTGTTGCGGTGGGTGCCTATAGTCCCAGCTACTTGGGAGGCAGAGGCAGGAGAATCCCTTGAGCCCAGGAGTTGGAGGTTGCTGTGAGCTGTGATGCCACAGTACTCTACCCAGGGTGACAGCTTGA